CAGGGCGCTATAAAACACGGGCTGGGAAACGCGCTGATAGCGCGCTGATCCATGTGTGATGCGGATGGGACTGGCGCGAGCGCGCTTATTTTTCAAAATGAAAAGAAAAAAGGAGCGAGAAATGGCAGAAAAAATTACACAAAGTTTTATAGGAAAGCATCCTTATACAAGAGATAAGAATTGCTTTTTTTAAATGAAATTTATAGTGTCCTAATGCTAGATTAATGGACAATAAATGTCTCATATTAATTATCGACAAAAATGACTAAACTAAAATATATTCCCATTTTTTCTATCGCAAGTGTAAATTTTTTTCATCAAAATTTTCGAGTTTGAAAGGGCGCATTTTGGCTTCAAATTGGCCTTTCACCATGGGTAAGTTGGCAAAAGTTATTTTGAAATCATCATCCTCTTCGCCATTTAATGGCCATTCTAATACTTATAGTGAGCGAATGCACTTTTTTTTTTTGCTATATTTAATGTTTTCTACAACCTATACTGTACTTCTTTCGCCCGGCCCGGAAGAAAGACTTTAAAAACAAAGCAAATTTAAGACAACATATTAACAAAAACATAATATATATTGCAAATGCACAACAAAGTAGTGTCCAAATTGAATGCAAAATATCAAACTATAGCACCAGTATTTTAAAAGTCATGAGATTTTTTGGCTGTACTAATTTTATCTTGATGAAGTTAAAAAACTTTTGTACATTATTAAGTATAGCTATTAATTTTTGTTGCTGGCAACAGAATAAATGTTTAATTACGTTCTCAAAAAGCCGTCAAGTGCATAAGTGCATTGATAATTAATTCAAGAATACTTTTCCAAACCGAGTTTAAACTGATGTTTTTCGACATATGTTTCATTACTAGTAAAATCGTCGGTTTTGTTTAGTGAAGAAGCGTAGTACGGCCATCGAACGCAATAGCGGACGTGCGAGCATTGAGCATCTTTGGGCTGCAAATGTGGTTAGCATCACTGGAAAAACAAACCGCGAAAAATGCTCGGAAAATTTTTCCTAGGTCCCAAACCTACCCAAAACTTTTGTATTCTATGAGACTAAGTTATGATATATCCGAAATACAACTTTAGATAAATGGCTTTTTTGATAAAGCATGTCTGTTTGCCTTGCTTTTTTACGTTGCCAAGTCAAAAATATAGCTTCTCGCTAGGGACGGGACATTTTACAAACAATGAAAAACAAACCGCAGAAAAATTGTATTTTTGCTCGTAAAAGTTTCCCAAGATTCCATATCTACTCAAAACTTTTGTATTCTATGAGACTAAGTTATGATGTATCCGAAATACAACATTAGATAAATCGCTTTTTTGATAAAGTATGTCTTTTTGCCTTGCTTTTTTACGTTGCCAAGTCAAAAATATAGCTTCTCACTAGGGACGGGACATTTCATATCAACAACGAAAGACAAACCGCGGAAAAATTGTATTTTTGCTCGTAAACGTTTTCCTTGGTTCGAAATCTACCCAAAACCTTTGTATTCTATGAGATATTGAGATTAAGTTATGATGTATCTGAAAAACAACATTAGATAAATGGCTTTTTTGATAAAGCATGTCTTTTTGCCTTTCTTTCTTACGTTGCCAGATCAAAAATATAGCTTTTCGCCAGAGACGGGACATTTCATATCAACAATGAAAAACAAACCGCGGAAAAATTGAATTTTTGCTCTATAAAAATATTTGTTTATATGAAAATAGAATATAGCTACTCACCATTTTAACATGAAAAACAATTACCAATTTTAACACGAAAAATTCAAAAACACATCTAATTTGGCATACCTGATTTCCAAACACATATTCCAGTTCCAGCGTTTATGACAACAGCCGTTTGAAAACTTATCTTCATCTATATTTGCATCTTAAAAACATACAGACGAACGCAGTTGTTTTGCAAAAAATCCTGATCACCTCGTGAGTCGTATTATAAATAGTCGAAATGTCGAACCCCACAGTGAAATCTCTGGCTTTATCTAAACTACATCATCCCCTCATCACCAGTTAGGAATCCTGAAAAAAACTTCAGTTTTCCAATAGTGCAGAACCCACAAATCCATTGTGAATTCAACTTGAGTTGTGTTTTTCACATCGTAATTTAAAAACGAGGCTAAAACAAGCACGCCTTTTCGAACCACTGGAATGGAATAAAAATCAAAATATGCGGGGCGGACCTGCATCACACAAAGATCAGGGGCGCTATCTCCGTTTCTCCGCCCGTGTTTTACAGCGCCCTGATTCGTTACAACACTGCCTTAGTCATGAACTTGCGGTACATGAACGTGGCAGCCACAACAAAAGAGGGAAATGACGGGAAAAGATTTTAAATATTGCTTTGACTAAACAAACAGGTATTTCGACGATGTATATGCCCAATCTAAATTTGACAGTATATACTTATTTCACTATATACTTGCCAGGCACTGTTTCAGAACAGTGTGTGTTCCATTACACATCTTTCGGGCGTAGATAGCTAAAAGGACATTTTAATAACATTGGACAAAAAACGAGTTTTATTGAGAGTACTGCGAGTGAACAGTAAACAGAGAGATTAACAGCCGTAGAGATCCACTCTTCAGGTACAGTGTATTGTGATTAATCATTTGTATTAAGCCATTAGGATAGCTATGAATTTCTCAATCATGCATGTAATATTTTGAACTGTAATCTAATCAGAATCGAATTATTTACTGTAGAATTTTTATATATATATTACGAAAAATCTCTATGGTCTGTGCGTGGTTCAATCCTTGGTAACATGTTCTGAAGAAGGACTAATAAGATTGGCGTCGAGTTAGCAGACGAATTACGGGTTATTGGATAGAATCATGAACGAAAACGAAGGCCAAAGCGGCTCAGCTGAGGCAGTACAAGAGACGGCGCATTGTGAGTCAGACGCGCAAATGAGTATTCTTAAGAAAAAGCGAAGCCAACTCAGAGGTAAGATTACTCGATCTATAAATAGAGCCAGAAAGTTTATAGAAGAGGGCGCAGAGAAGCGTAAACGGATAGAAAAAGAAATCATTTGAGCACAGATTTGAGTTAGCGCGTGAGTGTCACGCTGAGATGTATGAGTATGTGGGGGGAAGTCAAACCTCAACGATGGACGAGTGGGAAGATATACTCACTAACGATGTATACGACATCGAAGAGATGGTCGAAACCTTTCTCCTGTCCCTCTCTGTGTCCGAACACGCTAACCCAATGTCCTCAACGAGCGAACAGATTTTAGAGCCTGAAGTCAATAGTAACATCGAATCAGCAGGAGGCAACGCGCCAGTTAGTCACGAGGAAGTCGAGGGAGCTTCAATTCATGAGACCGAAGCTTCGGGAAGCGCGCAATCCGTCACTAACAGCGACAAAACTGTGTCAAATGCCGAGAACCTGCAAAATATAGCGTGTAACTCTGTGACAGACGAACTGGATTGCCCAAAGAGCAAAATTAATCCCAACCTGTCATCGCCGCAATCTTTCGACACCTGGATAGACAATTTAATTGAATTTGAAGAAACAGTTCTACCGACTAAAGTGTCTCAAATGTCAATCGCGGAAGCTTTGTACAAATTAGAGTCTAGTAAGGATATTCCTAGTATTGTACTTATTAAATATGACGGAAACCCGCTTACTTATGTTGAATTTATCGAGCGTTTCAAGCTACACATTCATGACCGGCCCCATCTGTCTGACGATTTGAGAATGGTACAACTAAAAATGCATTTAATCGGAAACGCCGAACGCGCTATTAGTGGTCTAGGTTCGCAGGGAACAATGTATGCGACAGCGCTAAAAACATTAAAGGAACAATTCGGCCAGCCAAGCGTCATTGCTAGAGCGTACATAAATAAGCTAGTAGAGAAACGGAAACTCCAGGGTGACGACAGACAAGCGTTGCAAGAATTCTCCTTTGATGTGGTAAACTGCGTAGCTACGTTAAAGCAAATTAATCACCTAGCAGATGTCAACGCGACCGACAACCTACGCAAGATCGTGAAAAGGCTTCCAGATCACCTTATTGACAAATGGAAAGGTGTGGCATCTGATCTCAGAGAGAAGGGGGTAACGCCCTCCCTTCAACATATAAGCAATTTCATCAGGAAACGCGTAAAGGCCGAATTTGACCCGGACTTTGGCGACATTCAGAAATCAGATTCTCGACGTTTTAGACCAGATCGAAAGGGAATTCACTCGGGTCAAAGGGATCCAAAGAAATCGGGAATCCAGTGTTACGTATGTTCCGAAGACCACCGTGTAGCATAGTGCCCGACCTTTTCCAGCTGTTCCAACGACGACAAGATCCAACACGCCAGAGATCAGCGATTATGTTTCTCGTGTTTAAACCGTGGACACGTGACGAGAGATTGCAAATCGAAGGAGAAATGTGGAGTTAAAGGATGTCCTCGCTTCCACCACCGTTTACTCCACGTAGATTTTCCATCCTCTCCTACGACACCCCCCCCCTAAGTTCAGCGACATCTGCGCTCGATAAAGACAGCATCATGCCAGTAGTTAGAGTTCGCTTCAAGTCGGCAAACGGACGAATTCGCGAAGGTAACGTTCTCGTAGACAGTGGTGCTGGTACTACCGTGATTCGGACAAACTTCGCGAGGGCTCTTGGTTTGCAAGGAAAGAGAGAGAAGATCGACATTTCAGTTGTTGGCGGAGAAAGAATAACGCAGAATGACAGCAGAAGAGTTAAGTTTTGGTTATCGCCCCTGAGTGGAAACGAATCTTGTAGTATATTCATATCCGGTTAGTTACTTCCTCTTTTATGTAATATAAATAAGCCAGCTTCTCTGTGGCAATGTACAACAACGATAAAAATATAGTCAAAGTATATTTCACAATCCTTATCAATCTGAGAGTTAGATCGAGTCAAGATAACATAACATGGTGGCAGCGATTGGATAAAAACCCCAGCTTGTTAATGTGAGCGATTTTTCGACACCAGCGATAGAGACGAAAGAAATATTGGACAACAACAATAAAAAAATATAGTCAAAGTATACTTCACAATCCTTATCAATCTGAGAGTTAGATCGAGTCAAGATAACATAACAAATCTTATCCTGTCGAAGCCCACGAAATCGACAATACGATCATCAATATTCCTGCCCTCGACCGCACCTGGCTGAAGTCGTTCGATCACCTGAAAGACATCGAGTTCCCTCACCGCGCTGGTCCAGTAGATCTGATTCTCGGTGTTCAGTACAGCCACCTTCACGCTGAAAGCGAAGTTCGAGAAGGCCTACCCTTCCAACCACTAGGAAAGCGGACGAAGTTGGGATGGCACGTGATTGGTTCAGATAATGCGAAAGATTCGACTGTCAGCTACGTGAACTTTGCAAAGAAAATAAATCTGGAGAAATTCTACGAATTCGAGACCGTCGGAGTACGAGCACCTGATTGTAACTGCCCACAAGAAACGATGTCTCGTGATGGTAAGAAGGCGATGGAGTTGTTTGAGTCTTCCTGTGAGAAGTTAGATGGAAGATATGTCATTGGCCTTCCATGGAAGAAAGATCCAGCGCAGCTTCCAAACAACTACTCTTTGGCAAAACGACGTCTAGAGTCTTTGGAACGAAGTTTGGCAAAGAATCCCAGCAAGGCAAAGATGTACGATGACGCTGTCAAAGAGTATGAGAGAAATGAATGGGCTCGGAAACTGACAGACGCAGAGATCAAGAATGCCAGTGGTCCGGTTTACTATTTACCACACCATGGTATTTACCGCCCGGAGAAGAAGAGCACGCCTTTGAGAGTCGTCTTTGACCCAGCCTGCCTCTACCAAGGAGTTTCGTTGAACTCCTTTTTGTATAAAGGTCCGTGTCTTATTGGAAATTTGCTTGGAGTCTTGCTTCGATTTCGAGAAGAGCCGATTGCCTTTACCGGAGACATTTCCAAGATGTTCCTGCAGATTCTCTTACGCGAAAGAGATTCTCAAGTCCACAGATTCCTGTGGAGGAGCATGGATACTTCACAAGAGCCGTCGATTTACGCTCTCCTTCGTGTCACCTTTGGCGACAAACCATCCCCGGATATGGCGAGTTTCGTCATGCTAAAGATCGCAGAAGAAAATCGAGTCAGTGCACCAGAAGCATGCAAGATCCTCGAGCGAGATAGATATGTTGACGATCTTATTCATTCGTGTTCAACAGCGCAAGACGCCATCCAGAAGATAACAAGTGTAGAAAAGATTCTCAACACCAGTGGCTTCAAGATCAAAGAGTGGTATTGTTCTTCCGCGCAGCTGCAAGACCAAGTGGACAAAGAAATAAAAATGACGCCCGAGTCCGATTCAGCCTCAAGCAATACGGTTTTGCCATCGAAAGAGGAATCGCCTACCGTGAGTAATATCAGTCTAGACGGAGAAGGAGGAGTAAAGACGCTTGGAGTTTCCTGGAATCCGAACACCGATACCATTAACTTCGAAGTCAAGTCGAGTGAAACGGAAATGTTCACGAAACGAGTGGTTCTGTCAAACATATCGCGATTGTTTGATCCCTTGGGACTTGCTTCAGCAGTTACAATACGAGCACGGATAGCACTCCAAGAAATCTGGAAATTGAAGAAATTTGATTGGGACGACCCTCTGCCGAATGAGTCACAGCAGTCATGGCAAAGGTTGTTTGATGATATCAAGAAACTAAAAACGGTGCAATTTCCTAGATGCCTTCAACCCGAAAGTTCGTTTGGTTCACCGGAGTTACACGTTTTTGCTGATGCCAGTATCCTTGCTTATGGGACAGCAGCCTACCTCGTCTGGCCCACCGCCAATGGGAAAGAAGTCCGCCTTATATCAGCTAAAGCTCGAGTTGCACCCCTCCGTCAAACCACCATCCCACGTTTGGAACTCATGGCAGCCCTGTTAGCATCTCGATTAGCAAAGACCATTCACGACGAGTTCAAAATCAAGCCTTCAAGCGTAATATTTTGGTCGGACTCCATGATCGTCCTCGCTTGGCTCCGCTCTGAATCCTCCCTACTTAAACCGTTTGTAGGCGTGCGAGTTGCAGAAATCCAGGAGACCTGGGATCCTAACCTTTGGAGACACGTTCCAACGAAGTTAAACCCAGCCGATGACCTAAGTCGTGGCATCGCAGTAAGTGAGATGAATGGACGCTGGATGAACGGTCCATCATTCCTTAGAGAGAAACCAGAAGATTGGCCTACTGAGACCAATCAAGCAACGCTAGAAGTTCCTGAATTTAAAGTCGGTAAACCCATCTGCGCGTTGCAACCCGTACAAAGTACCATTATTGATCCAGCTCGGTTCTCGAATTGGCAAAGACTGTGCAGAGTAACAGCTTATTGTGTTAGATTTATCAACAACGCAAAGTCTTCACATCGTGTAAGCGGCCCACTTCTTCCAGAAGAAGTAGCATCAGCCGAGCGTTATTGGGTTATGTCGGCCCAAACTGAGTTGGGAGTTTGGAAAGATCGTTACAAAGACCTAGCCCCATTCCTACAAGACAAGATCGTTCGAGTCGGAGGAAGACTTAATCATTCACCCTTATCCTACGACGAGAACCACCCGATATTATTGCCATCAGATCACGTTATTTCGAGATTGGTCGTCAAAGACGCGCACAACCGTGTACTTCATGCAGGTCGCGAGAGAACCCTATGTGAAACTCGAAGAAAGTTTTGGTTAGCTCGAGGTAGAAACGTGGTGAAGAAGATCGTGAGAGAGTGCGTCACCTGTCGCAGACTTCGACAGTACCCATACACCACACTGATGGCAGATCTACCACCAGAGAGGTTGAAGCCTTTCTCACCACCGTTTTCAGTTACTGGCGTCGACCTGTTTGGTCCGTTTTATCTAAAGTATGGTCGAAACTCGAAAGTCAAGAGTTGGGGAGCTCTCTTTACGTGCGCTACAGTCCGCGCCATACATTTAGAGATCGTGCAAGATTTGTCAACCGAAGCTTTTCTCCATGCTCTGCGACGGTTTGCGGCCCACCATGGATGGCCCAACACTGTTATCTCGGACAACGGAACGTCATTCGTGGGAACTGAACGAGAGTTGAAGAAATTACTGCAAGAAGGAAAACAAGAAATCGAAGACTTCGCTGTAGTTCACAAAGTCAAGTGGCGATTCAATACACCGCTGAGTCCCCATCAAGGAGGATTCTTCGAAAGCCTTATCAAACTGGCGAAGAAAGCATTACGAGTGATAGTCGGACAACAAGTGTTATCGTGGAACGAGATGTCAACCGTTTTCGCCGAAGTTGAGAGTCTCGTAAACAGCCGCCCCCTTGGATATCCCTCCAACGACCCAAACGATCTTCGTCCTTTAACCCCGAACCACCTTATCCTTGGCCGTGCGTCAGCCGACGTCCCGCAAGGTCCGTTTCGAGAAGCAAGAAATTGTCGAAAGAGATTCGAATACATCCAGACGTTAGTACAACAGTTCTGGAAACGGTTCCAGCGCGAGTATTTCCAGACGCTGATGCGGAGAACGAAGTGGACGAGCAAAGAACGACAACTCAAGGTTGATGACATAGTTTTGATGGTCGAGTCAGGTGTCGCGAGAGGAAAGTGGAATCTAGCGAGAGTGATCGAAGTTTATCCTGGTCCAGACGGTGTTATAAGAAAGGTGAAGCTGAGAACAAAGACAGGAGAGTATGAGCGATCCGTGCAGAAGTGTTGTTCAATACTGGAAGAAGGTTCTTCCTAATCGTGGCCGGAGAGTGTTTCGGACAGTCTGCATGAACATTAAACTCTTTAACTTTATACTTTAGTAATTTTACCTTGATTTAATATGATTATAACTTGATTCAGTATTTTAGGTGTTGACAGATAGTAATTATTTAATGACGTAGATAGCTAAAAGGACATTTTAATAACATTGGACAAAAAAAGAGTTTTATTGAGAGTACTGCGAGTGAACAGTAAACAGAGAGATTAACAGCCGTAGAGATCCACTCTTCAGGTACAGTGTATTGTGATTAATCATTTGTATTAAGCCATTTGGATAGCTATGAATTTCTCAATCATGCATGTAATATTTTGAACTGTAATCTAATCAGAATCTAATTATTTACTGTAGAATTTTTTATATATATATTACGAAAAATCTCTATGGTCTGTGCGTGGTTCAATCCTTGGTAACATGTTCTGAAAAGTTTTGCGCCGGGCCCTGCAGAACCTCCCAGCGGTGGCATAAA